TTCTATTTTGTGCAGCTGCTGTTGGTTTTCCTCTGCACATTCACTCCTGCCCTGCCTCGGCACAGGCTGGGGAGAGCAGATACCATGTCAGGACTTGGGGGGTCAAGGATGTCTAGCCCTCCCTTTTCCCCTCCAGACAATAGACTGGGGCAGTAGTTTTGTGATCGCCTTGGCTGAAAAGTCAGCTCACTGGAACCATGCGGTACTTACTCGTTTTCCACTATAGAAGTTCACTCTTTGGGTAGGTTCGCCTCTTCTGTTTCTTCCAGGAGTCCTGTGCCTTCCAAAGGCTTGTTGGCTGGCAGAAATGGAGCAGGGGATGCCTGTCCCTCTTGCACTTCTGTCTCTCAAAGCTGCTTTTTAAAGTAAAGGTGGAGAAAAAGATGGACAGCTGTGCTCCTCTGCTGGCCACAACATGCAATCTGCACATGGCTTAGTCATATTTCCACAATCTATTCATTTTCTCATTTGGGTAATTAATTCCATTAAAACTAAGTGCACTTGAATATCAAGCGCACTGCTCGGATGGCCCACTTTATTTTCTAGGTGGAAAAGGCTTTTCCACCTAGAATTCTGTGTTGGGTGAAGTGAGCTGTTTAGCTGGCCAGAGCTCGGAGTTCCTGTCAGTCTTACACCAGTTCTCAAGCTGGAAGGTATCTGAGAGGTCATCTAGTCCACCTCCCTGCTCGACACAGGAATCTGGCATTTACGACAGCATCCCTGAGTAGCTTCTGCTTGAGTAGCTGTCACCGGCTGAGTAAGCCAGGGCAAGGCACTGCATGCATGCATGTAGAAAAATTCCGGGCAGTTCACGGAGAGCAGCTGTTTGTTGAACCAGATATCTGAATGTGGAAGAAGGCCGTGCTCTCTCCTCGCACCCCGTGTCCCACGCGCCTGTTTAGTCTTTCCATTGCTGTCCTCCGTCGCCTCTGCAGGCAGCCAGAAGCCTCCTCTTGGATGTTAGCAAGGCCTATGTGGCATTCGCTGCTGCGGCAAGAGCATGGCTGCATTTAACAGCCGGCTAATGACTGAGCCCCCTGAATAGGTTTGTTCTCAAGATCTGCTGGAGCTGTGTAGCACCTTCCCACATTTTCTAATCAGGAGGGAAAATGCCCCTGTGGACTTGGCAGCAGTACGTGAATCTTAGTCCCTGCCTTTTCTTCAAAAGTGGTTGTGTGGCTTCACTCTTGGTGTTGTGGGAAATTCAGACAAATTCTAGTAGAAAAAGGTTGCTTATATGTGCCTTTGTGTTACTTGCTATTATGCACAGACTGGGGAAAACTCCAGTCAGTTGCTTAACAGATCAGAAAGGATTGGAAGTTGGAGTGTGTTGCTTTTTTTTAAGCAATTTTTTAGTCCTGTTGTTTGTCTGCCCATCCAGTAAAAGGTCTACAGAAACTTGACAGGTACGATTCCACCTCTTGCAGCAAGATGCTGCTTTTCTATGCAAATTCGAACACCGCCCTCTAATGGTCATTCATGGTCTCAGCACCCGACGTTACAAATACAGGCTAGAAAGTCACATAGCCAAATCCTGAAAAATAAGGAATGCCCGGAGGCAGTGAAGCGAGGCCTTCAGGATTCCTGGGCTGCAGTTTTCACCACTCTCTTGGATGGCTCTCCTAAGCTCGCAGGATTGAAATTGTCCCAATCTGGAACAACATATCCCAAAATGGGTCGGTGCTCATAACCATGGGAGCAGAATCAAAACATTTGGAGTGCTGTTGATCTCATTTTTCTATACAACAGCTTCACCTTAGAGAGTCCTGGTGGTGACGGTAGATTTTTTAAAAATTTAACAAGTCCTCACCCTGCAATCTGGCTGTAAATAAAAAATTACAACCGACACTGATGCAACTTGCTGGATTTGACGCCTTGAGTGCATAGCGACCTGTGTCCTCGAGTGAGTGGAAGCTCCGGGGTGGACACTAAACGGGGGCTGCTTCCTTTTGCGGAAAGCGGCTGGAGACTTACAGCATGACATGGGTCTTTATGAGTATCCGTATAAATCACGGGGGAGCAGGCAAGCTCTCAGGCTGTGCTAATCTGGAGAGAAGCAACCAGCATTCAAGTGTGGGCCCCACAGAGGCTGTGGTGGGTTTTCCCAGCCTGCTGACTGACACAGGCCTTGGCCTCCTCCTTGGGGCACAGTTTTAAGCAGCTCTTCCAGCTCCCACAAGGGGCGTGAGGCTTGCCCTGGCAGCCACCACCAGCCCCTTTGGCCAGTGGCAAAGCCTTTATCCATCAAAGCCATTGGACAAACCTCTTCAGCCAGTGCTAGAAAGACCCGCTGAGCATCCGTGCCCACTGGCAGGCCGCTAAGTTAAACAAAGGAGAGTTGCCCCCACTTGGCATCCCAGAATAGTGTTTCTGTTTAAGCATGCCATGTCTCAAGGGAGGGTGTGGCGAGCAAAATTCTGACAAAGGAAGGGTTCGATTTCGCAAGTGGTTGGTATCAACTGTGGAGAGTTCCAATAGCTGCAGCCACTGTATTTGATAAAAGACCCTGAAAGCTTTCACCACTGAGCACGGCGAGCATCTTTCGGTCCAAAGGCCAAATTCCATCATGGAAAAGGTGTCTGGAGCTGCATCCCCATGGGGGGTGCAGCTGAAATTAAAGGCGGCAGAGCCCAGGCCAAAGAAGTGAGACCAAATACAAAACCAGCCACCCAGCCAACCAGTACACAGTGGTCCCTCAGCTCACGAATGCCTTGGTTCATGACCAAATTGGGTCGCAGACAGAAAATTCTTGAAAATTTTGATTTGGGTTGCGAACTCCGCATTGGGTGGCAACCAAGATCGTGGCCATCTCCCCCCTCCCCCCCGAGTGGGGAGATGGCCGAAATTGCACCCATCTCTTCCTCCCACAGCACGCCCATCCGTGCCCGTCTCTCCCCCCCAGGGCGCCTGCGATCGCACCAGTCTCTCCCCCACCCCGCAGTGTGCTGGGATGATGGAGGCAATCTTGGTGGTGCTGGGGGGGGGGGGAGATGGCCCCGCTTCTGCTCGGTGGGGGGGAGAGATGGCCCCGCTTCTGCTCAGGGTGGGGAGGGGGAGATGGCTGCGATCTTCGTTGTTCTGTCACTTTGCTTCACTTTTTTCTGACTAAAAAAAAATGGTTACAGAATGGATTAACCTTATTTACATTGAACCTTATGGGGAAATTTGACTTGGCTCACAACCAATTGGGGTCATGACCAGAGTCCTGGAATGGATTAAGTTTGTGAGCCAAGGTGCCTCTGTATAATAGCTTTAAAATCTTATGGGCAGCTGCTACGCCTTAGAGGAGGCATTTCGACCTTTAGAATGTGGGAGGAAGCTACACAAACCCCTGGAAACGAGGACCAGTGGTTGGAGGAAAGGTCTAAGGGGAGGCAGTGCAGCCCGTTGGGGGCATCTAGATAACCACATTGTCCCCCCACCCCATTGATGCATACTTATACAAATCCAGTGGCATCTGATTTTCATTTTTCACACAAGTGACTCAGCACTTCCTCCTCCCCCTATAAATATTGATAAGCTGCAGTCGGCTTGGAATGGCCCCCAGAGCTGCTACCTTGGCAAACCGAGCAAGGGCTGGCCAAGCCAAGCCAAGCCAAGCCAAGCCAAGCGCGGGTGCCGCTTCCCCTGGACAGAGGTGGGTCTTGCATGGCGTGCGAGTGGCAGGAGCACCCTTCTTCCAAGGGTTCCTGGCCCGCCGCCCACCCACCCACACAGGCTGCAACAGAGTGGGCCGTCTTTCAGGGTTCTCCATCAGGCGGATGCACCAAGCAAGGCCTCACCTTGACTGCTACCTGCTTCATCCGATGCTTTCCCAGTATCTTGGTTTATTTGTGTTGGACATTCTGAACCCCTTCATGCAGTAATCTTTATCTAGGCTTGGACAAATCTGTCCATTTTGATTTCGAGCAGTTTCTCATGTTTTTTTCCATTTGTTCTGTCCTGTTTCTGCATTGCAGGTTTTAAAAAGTCTACGCAAGAATCCATATATCTTTTTGTGCATATTTTCCCTAATATTTCCATTTTTGTACGCAATTTTGCTCTATGTATAGGCCCTACAAATGCCCTTGGACCATAATTCCCTAGCCAGCATAGCCAGGGGTGAGGAATGCTGGGAGGGACCCCAGTGCAGCAACATCTGGAGGGACCCAAGTTGCCCACCCCGGCCTTGCACAATGCTTGCTTAGTACTTTCCCCTCCATTATAGGCATTTTTGAAAATGACTGTATATTAACCATTTACACAGAATCTTGAGGGGACTGCAGGTGGCGCAGTGGTTTAAACCGCTGTGCTGCTGGGCTGGTTGATCGAAAGGTCGCCGGTTGGAATCTGCACAACGGGGTGAGTTCCCGTGCTTTGTCCCAGCTCCTGCCAACCTTGCAGTTCGAAAGCATGCAAATGCAAGTAGATAAAAAGGCACCACTTCAGCGGGCAGGTAACAGCATTCCCTGCACCTCGGTGTTTAGTCATGCCGGCCACATGACCACGGAGACTGTCTGCGGACAAACGCTGGCTCCCTTGGCCACGAAACGGAGATGAGCACCGCCCCCGAGAGTCAGGCACGACTGGACTTAATGTCAAGGGGAAACCTTTACCTTCACCTTACAGAATCTTGACAACCTTTCATTTACAGCCAAGTCAGCTGGCTTTATTTGCTGGCAAGTTGTAGCCTGGCAGAAATGTTTGTGCCCAGCTACGCGTATCCCCGTTGCCCCTTCTTTATTCCATCCCTACATGGAAAGAGGAGCCAGGTAAGAGCCTAGCTTCTCTGGAAGGCCTTTGGGTGCATTATTTGACAGTACGTCTCCAGTTACTCAATCTTCTTCTGTCTGATTCCTGCTTTATCTCATCTGCATGGTGATATTCGTAATCTGACTAGCCTTGTTTTGAATTTTTGTTGCAAGCCTATTTAAGTTATTTTTGTACAGAAAAGTGGGAAATATCTCCAGATCTCAGTACAGTCATATACGTAAAGCATCCCTCGCTTTAAGGGTGTTATGTGCACGTCAGGCCTGCTAAGCAGCGCGACCCTTAATAAAAATTGGCATATGCGGGCAGCGCGATGCCGTTCTGAATCCTGAGTCTGCCTGGCTCTCCTAGCGCAAAGCAGGGGCACACGAAGTCCTGGAAGCGACCGTGGAACGTATAGAGGTGCTGCATGATGTCGGTGTTGAAAAACGACAGCGTCCCTTGGTCGTAGTCCAGCAGAAGGCCAATTCTTTGGGGAGAGACGGTAATCTTGATGTCCGGTGTCCTCCCGTCGTTCAGAAATTCGTAGGTGTGCCTGCGTGAGAAAGAATCCCTTGGAATTAAATGCCCTTAGAAGCACAATCGCAGCGAAACAAGCCGGGGGGCTGTACCTGGACAGGGTGACCGTGTGTCTCATGCACCAGGAGGAGTGGCTTGTGCCCAGGCAGCTGTCTCTCGGCACGTTTTCCAAAGCCACGCCGACACTGTATTCCACGCTTTCGCTGACATCCACCTCCCAGTAATGTTTTCCTCGGAATGGTATTGGGTTTCCCAGGATGGCGATGGACCTGGCCAAAGCAAACGAGTGCGTGTTAGTCCCGTGAGGTAGGTGAGCTGATAGTTCTGGCAGACTTCACCGATGGACTCACTAGGATGGCCAGCCCATCTTTTATGGCCCCCCTTCTTACCCTGAATATCTGGAGATGGCTAACCCGTAAGGCTGTTGGCGATATAGGGGCACATAGATTGGGATATGTAAGGCAACAGCAGGGGGTTGGACTTGATGGCCTTCATGGCCCCTTCCAGCTCTTCTCTTCGGTGGTTCTGTGAGGCCCTGACTGTTCTCATATGTACAAGCCCTTTACATTGGTGAGGCATCTTGTCGCTCATCTGCCCTGTGATGTGAGAGAGCCAGTGTGGTGTCGTGGTTAAGAGCGCGGGACTGGGACTCAGAGGATCCGGGTTCGAGTCCCCGCTCAGCCATGGAGCCAACTTGGCGACTTTGGGCCAGTCACAGACTCTCAGCCCAACCTACCTCACAGGGTTGTTGTTGTGGGGATAAGATGGAGGAGGAGAGATGATGTAAGCTGCCTTGAGCCCTTTGTAGGAAAAAGGCAGGATATAAATAGCAATATAAATAAATAAATAAATAAATAAATAAATAAATAAATGTGCCCATTCTCAGAAATCCACATGGCAAAACTCTCACGAGCTCTGCAGCTTCCTATTGATCTGTCTGTCCGTTGTCCCGATGGCAGAGCGCTCTCTGAGCATTGCCCTGAACTGTCAGCCGCGTGCTGCACAGAGGAAGGACGTCTGGCGAACCTTTCTGTCGGACTACGTGCCTGCTAGCGTTGCTATAGCAATGGTGACAACTTTTAGAATTAAGTGGGAAGGGAGGGAGGGAAACACCCACCCACTTTCTCTAGAATCTGATGACGTACATAAAGATGACAGATTGCTCTTAGGCATAACTAGGAGCAACTTGAGCTACGATGCAGCTTTCAAACCCCGTGGCCGCAGGCTGGAGCTGTGCTGGAGTCTGATGAGGAACCCACCCCACCTTTTCTACATTTTGGACTCTCTGAAGGCCATGAGAGGGAAAATGAGCATCAAATGCAAAATTATGCTAAGTGTCCAGCATGTGATTATAAAATTAGAGGCAGCAGCGGAGGCTTCTGTTTTATAGAACTCAGCAGGAACCAGTGGAAGAGGGCATTGCACCAAAAGGCACAATATGATTAATACAGAAATCCAAGGCTGCTATAAAAGCAGGTGTGATCCTCTTGGCAACCGTTCAACAATTTCCTTTCAGAGTAATTGCCAACTCCCCGCCTCTTGCTCTCTCTCACACAAACCCCCTCTCTGCAACTTCTCCAGCGCTCAGATCATCTTTTAAGATGAGGTGCCTGGAACTGCACACCGTTTTCTGAAGAATGACTGCACCAAACGTGTGCATAAAAGTAATTATAACATGAGCAGTTTAATTTTTTATTCCTTCCCTAATGAGCCCTAGCATGGATTTGCCCTTTTCATAAAAGCCTCACACTGGGTTGATGTTTTCATCAAACAAATTAATTCTTTGGAATAGTCAGTTGACCTCTCTGCAATGGGTCAGAGACTTAGAAAATTATTTTCTGGTAAGTGAATCTGTTTGAATGATTAATCCGTCAATACAGAAATCAGTGATCTCTTTGCAACAAGCTTGGAATGGTGCTTTATGGGTACTTGATCAACCTTACCTGATAAATGGTCTTGACCATTGAACCCATACTCTGAGTATGGTCAAAGGATGGATTCCCCCCCCCCCCAACTGTTTCACGTAGTCCCTATGGCTGAATTGGGGATTCTTAATTTACTACACTTTCAGACATGAACCTTAAATCCTGTTCATTTATCTGTTTGCTGAAAATGTCCTTTGAAGGAAGGCCTTTTTGAAGTCTTTCTGCCTTCTTGGAGTCACTGCTCTTTAATATAGAATAAATCAAAAGATGGGCACATATTTGATGTCTGGCTTCCCGTGAAAGTAAGATATTCATAAGAATAAAACGTGTGCATCAGAAGAACTATTATGTTTTCATTACCGATTATTACAATTACTATGAATTACGAATATCTTTATGCCACTTCCATCTACAAGTATCAGGATGGTGCACAAACATGTCAGCAAAAGGATTAAAACAGTGAGCCGTGTGCTCTCTGGGTGCAACGGGGCGCTTCTGACTCCCCGATTCTCTTCTGCGCTGCTAATTCCATCCTCTGCACAACAGCAATCGAGTGCTTCTGGGCAACCCAGACAAAGCGGAGACCTTTCTTCCTGGAAGGAGGCAGGTCAGCAGAGTTTGTATGAAGGGGCTCCACTGACCAGCCTCCTTCCGGAAACAAGTGATTCCCTTGGGAAGTGTCAGATCTTCCAAGCATATAGTTCTGTTCACACACTGCAATTGGCAAGAGCCGTCTATCACTCGCGGAAGGGAACTGACGGGGTGGAGTGCCGTCAGCAGGGGAAGAGATGCCCTCTTGGACTCTGCCCAATTAAGCATCCACTATGAAGCTGCTGCTACCCCTTTTCTCCTTCTTCAGCACTGAGCAAGTGACAGCCATTTTAAATCCCAAGGAGGACATCAACTCCACAGAAGCCATTGTGCGGTCAGATTTCGGGTGTGTGCATGGGAGCCCACTCAGCTGGGTGGGTCTCGTCATTCCAAAGATGGATGGTTTTTAAAATGGATCAAAGCCCAGCTGTGATTCATGGTCCTGACACTCCACAGGAACTCACGGTGCGGGAGGTTAGCCCAAGGGCAGGTGAAGGGGCCAGTCCACTGGCCGGCCATGGGAACAGTGGGGAGTTGCAGGCCAAGGGAGGAGACTCTGAAATGGGTAGTTTTTCCAGTGGGGAGCTCCTGCCTCCTGAAGAGGTAGACCCAGACACTGGACAACATCACTGGAGAGAGGTCCAGTTAGGGTGTGGGTCGACATGCAGAAGGGTTCCTAAAGAGAGTTTCAAGTGATGCATGGCAGAAACCGTTCAACATGTCACTCTGTGTATGCTCAGAGTCTTGCATGTAATAATAAAAGATAATTAGCAAAGAAACACTTGTGGGGAGAAGCATGGCTCACGGGGAAGCGCCGGTGAAATCATATTGTAAATCAGGGTGTACAGATCCTATACCTTGTAAAACTGTTTTCAGAGAAGGACAAATCATTTCGTGAAGTCTCGGCTTTGTGGCACATAATCGTCAGCCCATCTTCCAGGACAAGCAGGGAGGGGTGGGAGGTTTCTTCATTCAGTGTAAAGGCAGTGCCTGTGAGGAGACAGAGCGCTGTAACCGGCGGTCGCCATAACCCGCAGACGCAAGGCATCCCAGTGCGAAACCTCCATTCTCTCCTTTGCACACACGCCCTTGTGGAGGAGCGGGAGCTGCTTCCTGGTGGCGCAGTCTTGGGGACCTCAAGGGCCGGGGGCTTGGTTTTTCTCAGCCCTAACCGGGGATGTGCGAGCAGTCTGGTTTGGGGTGGGAATGCATTGGATTTCCTCAGCTCGGCTCCCTGGACTGGCCTGCTTTCCCTCGTCCCTAATTCCAACTAGTGCCAAGTGTTTGTGTGGGCTTCTGCCGGGACATGAGCTCAGGCTGAGTTCTTCTTCCACACATGTGACTTTGCATATTTTGTGCATAGATTTATGCAGTGCTTTTTTTGTAAAAAAAAAAAAAAAGTGCTGGAACTCACATCGTGGGGTCACACTTTTACACAATGGTCACCGCCGGCAGCAAGCACTCAGCGCGCGACCGCACGACCAATCCCAAGCCGAGCAGCGTCCAAGCCGAGCAGCGCCCTCACAATCGGCGCCGACAATCAGCGCCGACACACAAGCAGCCCGCAGGCACTATGTTAATGATTTTTGCCGCCGATCTGCTAAGCCCAACAGGGCGATTCACAATCACTTGGAAAAATCAGTCAAAAAAAGGTGCCGGAACGCTGTTCCGGTGCGTTCTATGACCAAAAAAGCCCTGGATTTATGTGCCTCGCATGAAGAGGCCGCCAGCATTGCAGCTCAGCTTGCTTCCTGGATGGGGCTGAGTAGGGCAGAGAGTCCAGTGAGTACAAGAGGGCCGGATTCCAGCCCAGTCTTCGCATGCCTGGCCCTAGCCCTCCGCTCCACTGGGCCAGCGGTGAGTTACGAAGGCAACCGACTACTCCGTACATTCTAGTCTTGGCCCTAGCGGAGTGGCCACTTGGGCCAAGCGAGCTGGGGACGTCAGGCAGCGGCTCTCGCCTGGCCTCCTCCTGAGCCGCTCCCCTCTTGCTGGGCGAGTGCCTGCAGGCAGAGCGGCTTGCTTCTTGCTGAACGGCCGGCTGAGGCCTCGGCCAGCCTTTGCCCAGTGCAACGCCACAGACAGCGCCGCTGCCCAGGCTAGCGGGGAGGAGGCCAGGCTGGTGAGGGATGCAGGCTGCCCCACGAGGCCTCTGGGCAAGGCTCCCCCATGGTGCGGCCTTTGCAGCAGCTTTATGACTGAAGCATTGTTGCGGGGAGGCGGGGGGACAGCCCCACACCGCACACACACACCCCATCTCCCTTCCCCCAGCCAGGTCCTCGGGCAGCGCTCCTGGATCGCCTGGCACGGACTGTCCAAGAAGAGACCGTGGCCAAGGGCGGCAGACTCCGGGGACAGCTCTGCAGCGGACGGGGGTCCCCCCCAGCACGGCAGCCTGCGCTTGGCGAGCGCGCAGGCCAGTGCCTTGGGATGGCTACCTGTGCTGAGGACGGCGACCGGATCGCTCTTTTCGCTGGGCCCCCCCCATGTTGACGGCCCTCACCGAGATGAGGTAGTGGTGCCTTGGCTCCAGCGGGATCAGTGTTTCACAGTTTGGAATCCCAACAATAGTCCTGGAAGAAAGGGAAGAGGCCTCTTGAGAAACGAGCCGCCGTTGCCGAAGAATCAACAGATGAATGGCAGTCTTGTTCGAGCCTCTCAGGGCACGGTCCTGCGTGCGTTTAGACATATGTTGGGGACGTACATGACATACGCGGGCATGTACTCCATCAGCCTTTTTCCTGTCTGAATTCACATAGGATTGCATCCTGAAAGACTGGAGAAGAAATGCCCTTCTCCCATCCAGTGTTTTACATGTGAGCCGGTGGGACACAAGAACGGACTCTCTGTTGCACCCAGTTCGTCCTTATGATCCAACGGTTTCTGTGAGGCCTATGCCTCGATTCCCCCTGCTGTTTGCAAAGGGTTTGAGATGCTGCTGATGATTCTGTTGCCTTCACTAGAAGTACCCACAGAACCATCCAACCACACTTATTTAAACTTCTTTTGCACTGCTTCCTATCCTAAAAGTCTCCATGGTTTAACTTAAAAAACATGCAGTGCAGTTCAGAAACACTAAAGCTGTCACAAGAAAAGTAGTAAAGCATCACGGCATCATGGTCCATCACGAGCCAGGGAAAAGCCTGGGTGAAGAGATTGTCTTCAAGAGGCGTGAAATCACAGTTTCTGCTTCTCAGACCACACCTGGAGGAGCATTCCAGAGAGAGGGTACCACTACCTGCTTGTACTGCATTACCTGGGGACACTCAGTTGGTCAGGGGTCTCCTTGGAGGCACTTAGGGGCTGATTTGGCATATATAGGGGAAGACAGTTGACTTCCCTAAGTCATTGTTGGAATACAACTCCCATCATACCCAGCCAATGGCCTGGCCAGCTGGGTGATGAAAGTAGCAGTCCAACACCAGGCTATCCCAGGCTAGGCAAAGCTGCCATATAATAGAATTAATAAAGTGCAGTCACAACAAACCACAAGACTAAAACTGCAAGAACAACCAGCAATTTTGAAACACAATACGGAAATACTGCCAACACTGAGAAGAAACCAAAGCAAAACCCCAGTGACAGAAGGATAAAAAAGGGTTCACATTTAAACCAGCAACAAGGAAATTAGCTATTACACATTAAGAAGCCAATTGACATGGCAGTTCTTCCACTTCCAGCAAAAGACGCACGGCAAACATGCCCACCCTCGAGGTTCCTCAGTTCTTTGGGCATTTTGCAAGTGGCGACAAGGCTCCGAAGGGAGGCAGCTTACTCAGTAATCATGTCCCCATCCTCTCCATCTGTCAGTCTGGACAATTCAGCAGTATAGGAGTCGACGGGATTGGTGTTCCCACATTCCCAGCGCACCAGCGCCGCATGCTCACAGCTCTGGAGCTCCTTCCTTTTGATGACCGGTGGCAAAGGAGCTGAGGACAGAGACGAGAGAGGCCCTGCTGAACCGTCTTGAGATCTGCATACGGTGGTGGGGTTCACACGCCGCAATCACCCGCCCTGCAGGGATGGATGCAAGCCACCAGCTTGTGTGGTGCAGCTTGTGCTGCAGATGCGCACGTGGCCCCTATGCACGTGTGGCTTCCACCTTCCTCTCTCAGCCCGCCCCCCACCAAGCCCGCAATCCAGTCCCTTCTTGTGTGGCCGGAGCAGCTTCCCGGGGCGCTGTGGCAGTTCTGCAGAAACCCCCCTGCCGGATTCGGTCAGCCCCCCTTCTCCATGTCCCGTTACTCCACTCACTCCCACACTGGACTCGAGAAAAATGCAGCACAGAAATGTGGCATCTTATCTCTCACGTGATGCAGGATGGAAGTTCCTGCATTTTCCTTGGAAAGAAAATAGTTAGTGGGAGATGTTGACGTCTGAGGAGGGTCTGGAAAGGGTCGTTTTACAGGCCTAGTCTGTCCCATGGACGCCTGATTGGCTGCCTCTGTTTTAAATATTTGTAAAGTGCTTGACTCTCCTGGGCGTACTCTGTATAATCTGCCTACCTAGGGGCACACGATCCAGCCGGGGTGACGCACTTTAAAGTCCCGTTGGTCCTGGGATGGGACAGGCCAACACAACCTGCACTGCAGCTCCAGCCCTCAGGGGTGCGTTCCAAGGCCCTGGCGCCCTCCGCAGGTGGGCACTTCCAAGCTCGGGGGTGAGACGCGTTCCATGCATGGCGGGAAGCGTCGCTCCAGCACCTGCCTTTGCCCCACGCCTTGGCCCTGCAGCTCAACTAGTCAATTTTCAGCCAGCCGGATAACACACTGAGGCAGGATGGAAGACGGCCCGGGGCACTGCTTCGAGGTGGCTTTGAGGCTCTGCATAATCTTACAGCCCTCAGACAATGTCGGAGGCCATAAGTTTGCACCCTAAGTTATCTGTATCTGTGCCCCACCTTTTCTTTAGGCAGCCCAGGCAGCCTTACAGAACCTTCCTCTTCCACTTTATCCTCACAACAACCCTGATATTCAGGTTCCATGGGATTTCCCACCCCGTGAACATGTATAGGACTGCAGCTGAATGGTACAGTCCTACAACTGCTCAGTAGCAAATCTCGCGAAATTCAGCGGGGCACCAGGGCTGCGTCCAGAATGGCTCTTCTTGCAGCTGACCGTGCTTAGCCTTGGCTGAAGTGCACCCCGCTTCTCTAGGCTTTCTAGAGTTCAAAACCCAGTAAAAGGATCCTGTTTAAAAATTGGCAACATTCAGCCTCTGGAATGCCATGTACCTGTCATGTAAACAGCTCTTTCACTCGCTGGACCGACTCCTGCTTTGTTTAACGCTTTCACCCAAAATTCATACTGTGCATTAGGCACCAGATTAGCAACTGTACAGTAGGTCTCTTTCACATTTGTCATAAATTCTGTAACAGGAAAAGACAAGGCTTAGGGAGTTATTTTAAACTGCCATTTTCTGACACGTGCTCCTTAATGCAGTATCTTTAATATTAGGTGCATCCGTTTCTGTTTTGGAGGCAGGATATTTTCAGCAACATCTGAAGGCTTGGATTGATTCAAAATTAATCAGCAAGAAGGGAACAAAACAAGACAATCACACAAACAAAAATCCCAACCCCTAAGCTAAATGTACCAGAATATTTCTCATGGCTTTTAAAACATCTTTGTGGGTACTTTTCCATGTCTTGTGATGACTAACAAGATTTTGCTTCATCAAAGGTCAAATGACCATCTCTTGTTTTTATTCTGTGCCTTTGGTAGGCATTGCACCCCTGCTAAACAGGCTTCTGTAATTTTCTGTCACCATCAGTCTCAATGGGCATGGCACTTTTGCACAGTACAAAAGGAAGGTTTCCCGTCTGTAATTTGATACAGGGAAGAGGAGGGAAGTAATGGGTCAATGTTGTTTCCATCATCTGTTGCCGCTGCCATCGCCGCCTTTATATCCTAGAGCCCGTGTGGTGTCGGGGTGAGAATGTCGAGGGAGCAACCCAGGAGGTCCAGGTTCAAGTCTCCACTCAACCACCAAGCTCACCAGGTGACTTGGGACCAGTCACAGACTCTCACCCCAGCCTACCTCACAGGGTGGCTGTTGTGAGGATAAAAATGGAACTCCGTAAGTTGCCCTGGCTCCCTCACAAGAAGAAAAAAGCAGGAAATAAATGCAATGCAGTTATCATCATGATCTCAACTTGTTTTATGTCCTTCGGCAAGGAAGCCAAGGTGGCTTATATAGTCCTCCTCCTCTACATTTTACTCTTACAACAAGCCTTTGAGGTAGGTTAGGTGGAGAGTCTACAACTAGTCCAAGGTCACCCAGTGGCTGAGATGTGAGTTCTAGTTCAACACTTTAACCGCCATGCCAGCCTGGCTTAATATTGGATCTAGATCAAGGACCACAGACTTTACGAAGAGGGTAGCTTTTGAGGAAGAATGGGATAGAAGTCAGAGATTGCATCCTAAAGTAGAGGCGCAGAACCTCCATTCTGCAGACAAATCTGGTCCTCTGTGGTTTTGTGGAGGGCTTTGCCACCGTCCCTTGATCCCAAGTCCCTTTTCCCCAACCACTGATGTTTTGGTGGTTTCCCAGATTGTGTGTGTGTGGGGGGGGGGGGGGGCTTCTATTCCAAATGAGATGCTTTCCTAAGGATTAGTTGATGGCAGTTGGAGATTTGCCCCCAAATATTGCTTTGTTGCCCCATTCGCTTTGCCTTTGGCCTGTCCCTTTGCCTTAAGCCTTCCATAGTCCACATCACTAGAATGTGAATCAGTCCCTGGAGCTGAAGGAGGTACCACAGCCCGTCTCAGAGGGAATTCAGAGAGGGCATTTTAGCATCGGGGCTAGCAAGGGAGAAGGCTGGGCAACGCAGGGATCAGGAAGCGGACTTTGGAAGGCTCAGGGTGGTGGAACGAACAAGGATTACAGGCAGGGATCAGCTGCTTATCCATCGCCACAGATAAGTCAATGCGTTGCCTGGCGGGAGGGCTAACACATGCTCACTTTACAGGCATAAATGCAAATTTAGATTTCGTGATGCAGTTTATGGAGGATGGTAGCACAACTCCCCATGATGGGCAAGACCGTGCTCCCCGCTCCGTTTGCTGCTCCTGCCCCTGCTCTCTTGGGTTTTGGGGTGCACGGTCTTTACACCAAGCTTGGACTGGTCAGCCCTCCAAAGAGAGGACTGTGCTCTTTCAAGTAGGACACACAGCCACCCTTGCAGGGATGTTTCAGTATATAACAGCAGTGGGATACAGGTGAAAAGGTTGTGCTGAGGCTGGAAAAAGCATGTTGACAAATGATCAGTATTCCTGAGAACTAATAATCTGATCTGGCTTGCATAGCATGTTTTTAAAAGAAACTCGTGAGCTGTTTTCTGATAATTAAAGCTGTTGCTTATAATCACCTCCACACTAAAGCTCTGTGTAGATTAATGAGCAGCGTAGTGACATCAGTACATGTGGCCTGGTTTCTAGTACAATCTTTACTCAACACATTCCAACAAAGCTACCTGGGAACCACGATTTTTGCTTGCTTGTAACTGGCTCTAGAGGTTAGCCTAATTCTGGCTTCCTTATGGAGCAGACCATCCATCTTTCGGGAGGCAGCAGCCTTGTTCAGGTGGCTCCAGCTGTCACAGCTTCATGCAGTGTCCAATCACGCTCAAAGGCAAGACAGTTAGGTCCAGCGGAGTCCCTCCCAAACTCTCTTTGGGCCTCCCATCAGCTTACCGTCTTGCTCCTCTTTTGTGGTGTCATTGCTCACTCGCTTGTAGTACAGCTGGTAACTTTCAACAAGATCTTCTGAAAAGAAACTCCAGCACACCCTCACGGATGTACCGGTAGCTGAGCTGGGATCCTGGGAGTTCATCACCGGTGCACATGGAGGCAAAGAACCTGGCAAAAGGAAAGGGTGGAAGGGAGAACATCAGTGGACATATTTTGCATGGTGGCTGTAAAAGATCAAGAAATAGTTGTTCTTTAACCTCACGCCACAGCAGAAGTTGCTCTGTACCAGGACAGACTGTAAGTCCAGCTAGCCCAGGACTGGCTCCCTAAGGAGCCAGGAAATTTTGTCCTGTTCTTCGAAACCTGTTGGATGTTGCATGGCAGGAATTGATGCAGCTGAAGCCAAATGTGGGTGAACTTACAGATGTGATTCTTACTTTGGTTCAGCATGCAACAGGGGAACTAAAAACATTTGCATCGAACTGTTCTTCTTCCCCAACTTAGGAAAGGGGGAGAGAGTAGGAAGGGGGCACCACCTCAGTGACCCGGAGCAGTGCTGGCGAGGGCGTGTGGCCAGGGCAACATCCAGAAGTCTGGAGAGAGTGAGCATGGGAGGTCTGCATTTGTCACATGTGTTGGACTTTCCCAGCCCTGGCCTGTTGAACCATCCATCCACCCTTTGCAGATTGCCGGCTGTCTTCATTGCATCATCCGTTCGAGGACCAAATCAGATTTTTCTCCATTTCCCAAATGTGCATTCACACTGGAAAGTGCACACTTGCACAACTGTGTGCTTCCAAAATCTCCCCCAGTAAGTAAATTCTTCCATCATGTACATATGCACACTACAGGGCTTTTCTACGTGAGGCTGTTAAGCTGCTGCAAACCTGCGATCCCGTTTCTGTTCCTGCTTTTCCACTATATAACCTCTAAGTGGTGCTGTGGTACAGCAGTATGGCGCAATCACACAAGGGAAAAAAGTTTGCTTTCGCTTTGAGAGATAAACACTATACTTTCCCTGCTCACAGAAAGTGCTCTGTGGACATAGAAGTGAAACTGGAATGCTGTGCTATTTGTGTAGAATCAGGAAACAATCATAAGTAGGGAATGATAAGTGCACGATAAATGCCATCTGTGAAAAAGCTCTTACTCAGGGGAAAATGTTTATTTTGGAATGGTCTTTCTTTTCCTTTTCCTTTTTGCATTTTTGTGCAACTAAGCTTGTGTGCAAAAACAATCCACGAGACTATGGAATCTACATAATTCAGAAAAAGCCGGCCCACTGTGGAATGTCTGGTTCTGATTCCCAGAAATCCAATCTCATTTCAAGCTGCCCCTGGTCTATGCAGACTGCTAGCAGGATGTCATTTCCCGTCACCTGCTGCCTGATCCTTCTCTGTAGCTGGATCGAACTTGGGCCCTCCTGCCCGCAAGATTTGCTTTAGGGTCGAGCTATGGCAATGATCATTGCTTCAACACAACTAAATGGACATGGTATTAAAATGCAGATTCCTCACAGCATTTAATATTGCGGTATATTATCCAAGACTGTCCTCTGCAAGTCACCCCCATTCTGTGAGGTCCTTCCCAGTGATTAAATATGTCCTATTTGCAACTCACGGCTTTTTTATTACTTCCCATTGAGCATGACTGCAGGACTACTGATGAATAGCCTCTTAATAACCTCCTTTAATAGCCTCTTTTAATTGGCCCAGTCCATTTTCTTTTCTAGTGTGCTGGGAGGAGCTTTCAGGATGGGTTTCTTTGCATTAGTTTTCCTCTTTCCAATTTTAAAGCAGAATATGCCCGTGTGTTTCTATACAAAAAGAAGAAAAGGAAAAAAGATCCCACTCCTCTCCTACAAAAGGCACAAGAGCTTGGAAAAATAATATCTCTCAGTTGTGGTTTGCCTGTAAGTGCTGCAAGTGTGTTTGCTTGAATCCAGCAACGTAGGGTCCCGTATGGATGCTGGGAAAGCACTGGGCTGCAACTATCCAGTAAGGCCGGCGCCTGGATTCTCCACCAGAAGTGGGTGAACAAGGCATGGGAATTGGGGGTGCCAAACATGGGGACCACCGTCCCCTTCAGCTGTGCCGCCTCTTTTCCAGTGCAACCAGGTTTCCACCAACCTCTCACTCGTGAAGGAGAAGAGCCGAGGCAGGAGCTGCCTCCCAAGCAAGCCAGCAGCATCTGTGCAGAGGAGGCGGAGCAGGAGCAGCTGGTGGTAACAGAGCGGAGAAGGTCGTTGCCCTGGGGGAGGGTTGCCACTGAGCCTGCCTTGGCCTGCAGCCCTTGAAACCCCGCGGCCAGCGCTAGTGGCAAATCTCGGGGTGCAGAGCCTCACGCTGAGCTTCAGGAGCAAACGTGCTTTTTGTCGTTGCCGTTGCTGCTTTTCTGTCCTGCCCTTTCGCCTCTTGCAAGCCGCCCAAAGTGGCCAACACCGCCCTCTGCCTCTTCTCCTCCATTTTACCCTCACAACAGCCATCTGAAGTGGGTCCGGCTGAGAGGCAGTGACTGGCCCAGTGAGCCTTGTGGGCAGGTGGGGACCAGCACCCAGGGTTCCTGAATCCCAGCCCCTCTCTGTAACAGCTCCGCCACACTGTTCCCAGTGGTTTGACCCCATGCACACCCTGCTTCCGCTTATAAACAGGTTGGACCTGCGACAAAATGCTGCAGCGTGAAGTGCTTCAATTTGGGGATGACCAAAAGGCATCCTCTCCCTTCCCCATCCACACCGCCACCCTCTGCAACAGTCAGACAACACCTTTTGCCACCAAGCATGCTCGGTCCTCCTTGGGCTGTTCCGGTGCCTGTGGGGTTTTCCTCCTCCTCGGAAGCTGGTTGGTGTATCTGCAAAGCTCAGAGTACCTCTGAGCCTGCCAAGCCCTCGCTCTGGCTAGTCAGCTTGGCTACGTCAGCAATGCCACGCACAGCCTGCGCATCAGAAATGAGGGAATCCCTGGGATGAGGTCTCCAGTGCCCTTTGACCAAAAAAATCTCCGTTGACGCTGGAATGCGGCTGGGGATAATCGGATGGCTGAGGAAGCAGAGAGGGTATTCTACTCTAACACTGAAATCCTAAACACCTCCACTCAGAAGTAACCCCTGCTGCAGGAAAAGGTCCCCCGTTACCTGATTATTCCACAATTGAAACCAGAAACAAATACCATGACAATACCTGGGAGAGCATCCACAGAGTCCATCAGTTCTTGGATATCCGAGACATTGATGGTCCGGGCTTTGAAGTCTGTTGGCATTGAGAGGTCTACCTCCACATCCTTTTCCAAGAAAGTGCCCAGTCTGTCAGCGCCACAAAAATCAGTGTTAGACAGCCATCCCAAGAGCTTAGCTGGGATGCTCTGATGCTTTTGGGGGATGGGTTGAAATTACAACATAATAAATACTAGAGACAGGATCAAGAAGTGCAGGGTAGAGATGAACATCCAAAATTTAATACCTCTGGATGTCTGAGGGAGGAAAAGATAAAAAATGCATTGTTCAGCCTTACCGACTCTTTGTAGCAGTTGCAGTCTGTTGGGAAAAGAGAGAAGCAAGTTTCAGTGACAGGGGTGGGATGTGGGACGCACATCTCAGAGCTCCAGTGGCTTTGTAAAGAAAAGAAAAGCTGCTTGGGATGGGGGAGCTGAATGTGGGATTTTTCCTGCCATGGTTCTGTATTTTTCTAGTGCTGTTTTCTGCATGTTTGCAAAAGTCATTGCTATGGCATCCAGTGAAGCTTTTTCCCAGGTAGCCCTGCAAAGGTTTGCAGTCTAAATCTGCATACCGGTGGCTGCCTTTGATAAAAATGGCAGGATGGGAAAAAATAAATGTAGAGAGGAGAAGCAATGACAGGCTGAAGCAGGGCTTAACCCTTTCCCCGCCTCAGCTCCCGCATCTGCCATGAAATTCACAATATGCCTCTTTTAAGTCTTGCAGGGGAGAAAGCCACATGGGAAGAGCCTGGAGCAGGTGCCAGTGCTTCTGCCTCCAGGCCGTGTGGCATAGATTGGTGCGCAGGGCTGGAGAAAGTGTTGGGACTCCAAACCCCATCAGCCTTAGCCCGCATGGCCAAAGGCCTGAGCTGTAACTTCTGGAGGCCCACAGGAGTGCCATGGTGTAATTATCAGATGGGATGTGCTTTTAAACTCGTTATCTATCTGCAAATCTAAGAGAACTTTTCTCTGGATCAGTGCAATGTTCTGCCTTCTAAATGTCTAGATGGTAGACATAATAAAATTCCAGATGATAACAGATGTTGCCCTTAGAAGAATGAAAAGGCAAATTCTGTTCTGCATATTTTCATCAATTATTATTATTTCTTCAATTATTATTATTAGGCCTGATCTTGCCTAATCTTGGAAGCTAAGCGGGATCTAGTTGAACTCTTGAAAGGTAACTTAATGTTGTAAACTGTCCAGAAAGCTTTGACTATGGGCAGTTTAGAAATTTAATGTAATAATTATAGTTAGCTGGCTTGTTCAAAAAACTAGAGTTTATTTTAGGTAACAATTCCTGTTTTGCATGCAATGATTATTCGGATATCTGCTAAAGCAGCTGAATTCAAACTGGATGAAGGCTGAATTTTAACGCATTCTTCCTCCCAGGGATGGGGAGGGGGAGCTGGAACATTCAGGGCGAGTGTGTTGCATGGGCTTGCTTCCATTTGCCCTTAATTATGGTTGAGGTTAAGTAGTAATGCAGCCCCGGCATGAATTCGTCCTGCAGTGTCTTATCCTGCAAGGGCATCTGAGCCAAGTATATTTTAGAAAACTATCTCCTTTATCAAAAGTTTAACAGAACACTCAGTCTCACAATTAATCTTATTTAATAATTGGTTTTTATTGTACCTTTAATTAGCAAACCACTCTGTGGGTCCTGGAGACAGAAAAGTGACATAAAAATAACACATGTGATCTAAATTTTCTCCAGATTGTTTTCTGACCCTTATTTGCACAGAACATCTGGCTTGGAGTTTGAAGACTAAATATGCATTTCATCCATGATTATTTGAACTATAGATGATCTCACCTTTATCACATCCACTTTATTTTCACGCTGATCAAGATCCTCAATGGTTTCTGTCAGCTCTTTACAGGTGTCTAGATTTTCTCCGCAGCTGACCAATTGTTCATACAGCGCCTCCAGTTTCTCCTTCTTTTCTTCTCCCAAAGCCTGCATGTTTTCTTCATACCTTTGCTCAAGAGTCTGCATCAAGTCACTGTAATGCTTCTCAAAGTTCTGCTCCTGCCTGGCAAAATCCTCCTGGTGGAAAGCATTTTAGGTTCACTAAACTTTCTTAGAGTTTCTGCCACCAAAACTCAAGGAAGATCCATGGAACGTTCTGATGGGAGCTATTTGCACAATGGAAACTTTTGTTCATTTGAAATTGATTGACCCACCATCACTCCCCCTAAAGGACTGTAGGACTTGTGCTTCTGTAAGTGTGCCCAGCCTTAAGCCCAGAAATTAGAAAGTGCAAGTAACGGAAAAGCAAGATGATGTTCCATGTTGGCCTAAGATCAGGACCTGTTTCTTTATGGCATGAGAGGACAACCTTTCATCTATGGAGGAGCCCAGCCAGCCTGCAGAATGCTGGGCGCCATCTCCAGGCAGAGGCAGGAAGGGGAATGCCTTTGCTATCTCTGATCAGAGATGGAGATGACGTGGGATGTGCCCGTGAGCAGCCCTGCGCCTGACATTTGCAAGACCCCATCCTGAAGATGCCTGCTTCTGCCCCTTCCCATACCATTTGGACCCCTGATGGTGCCCATTTCTAGTCACACTCTGAAATGAGGATGTATTCACCATTTAGGCTAATGGTGGCAGACTTTCCCGTCCTCTCAGTGATGGATTAAATGATCAGGGTATCTGTGTATAAATCGGGGGAAGACAATAAACAAGGCAGATGACCAGGGCAGAACTGTGTTTTGGGCTTCCGCCAGCACCTTAGGCTATTGATAAATTCCCTCATGATCTGATACGTAGCTGCGAATTTTGTCGAGGGTCTGAGGGGCTCCATTAGGATCATTCTGTCTTACCTCTACAGTGATAAAAATTTCCTCCAGGTGACTGGAAAAGCTCTCCAGGTGGGCAATCTGTTCTTCCAGTTTGCAGATATTTTTCTGAAACGCATCCTGTCAAAAACAACAACCACAGAAGCTGTGCAACAGCAAGCAGCTGCAGCATGCCAGGGAGCTCCCGCCCCTTGCCTGGATGGGTTCCCATTGTTCTTACCTTCGCGATTTCAACCACGCTGGCCAGAGGCATGACCTCATGCTCCTCGTGTTCGCGGCAGTGCTTGTCAAGCGCTCTGACTGGAACGCAGCATGTAATGCAGTACATATCTGTATCTTTGAGGGGATTTTTGTCATAATCAGTGATGGCCTCACTGGCGCCATGAGCCTTTTCACCGCCTCCTCTTGCATCACCCAAGGGTTGATCCTTAGAATCCATGTCCGGGATTGCTTGCTTCTCTGCACTTTGGGCCCTCCTGCTTTCCACAGCCAGATCTCGTCTTCGAAAGGGTTCTTCTGAAAAGATTTCAAAATCTTCACACGAGTCATAAAGTTCCAGGTGATAAAATCTGGGGCTTCCCGTTTGTCTCTCTTCCGATAGCGGCTCCATCATCAAACTCAAAATACCAGATGCTAGTCTTAAGATGCAGTGGAAGTGAAAGTTGTTGCAAGATCTTCAGGACACGTAAAGGAATGACTGTATAGCCCTGAGGATAGATATGGAGGGAGGGAGGGAACAGAAGTGTAGCCATGTTAATCTGGCATAGATAAAACTGTACCTACCGCAGCTGGAAACTAAAGCATGATCCTATCTATGCATCTGTCTGCTTCAAACTTGCAGCCTAGTGATGTACAAAATACAAACCACAAAAATGTTAAAGAAAGAACTGAGAACCAGTATCTCACAGACGAAACAAGTGGCCCTTGATAGCCCTGTTCCTCCATGAATTTCTTGGATCCCCCTTCAAAGCCATCAGATTAGTGGCCATCACTGTCTCCTGTGCTCCCCAATTCCATATTTCAGCTATGTGCAGTTTTTCCTTTTCTCAGCCCTAAACCTGTCACCGGTCAGGGCTGGGGGAGTGTTCCTGGGTTCTGCTATTATGGAAGAGGGAGGAAACCTTCCCCCATCCAGATTCTCTGAACAGGTTGAAATTTTGGACACCAGAGAGGTCTCTACGTTGCAGTCACCCTTCCGGACGTCATTGTGCTCCACCTAGGAGTGGAGAGGAGCCCTGCTGGCTGAGCATGGGCTCTTCTAATCTGGGTGCGGCTCGCAGTGGTCCAGCAGCTGCACAGAGGAAATCCCGGAGCTGGGCCTGGGGCACCCGCACCCTCCCCGCCATGTTTCCGGCAACCAGGGATTCCTCCTGTGCTTCCCAAGAAGGAAAGGCAGAGTAGCTGCACCCCGTGCATTGCGGTGCTTCTGCTTGCTCTGGGAACCCTCCACCGGGAGTCACCCACAGTGGCTTTCCAGCAAAAAAATCTCCTGACCTCAGGCTTAAAAACCATTAAAAGTCAAACCTTCTATTTTACAAATGTAAATTCAGGATGTAAACATGAATGCAATGTTTCAAAACCTGTGCAGAAAAGTGGTCTCATTTTTCTCCAAGCTGTTTTGGTCTAAATGTATCAGTTATTCATGCCTTAATCAACTTTTTTTCTAGCTTATATAGTGCACGCTCACTTTCACTGACAGAAATGTAGCACACATAAGTAATCGAGTGTCAGTCGTCCACACATGGATTATAAATGCAGAACGTCGCTATTAGAAACTTGCCTTCTGGGTTAAGGATCCATTCTTCCTTCTTACGGCCCAATGGCAGTAGATCCCATGCCTGTTTTTCCTAACAGACCTTGATTTTCAGATGATGGCAGATCCCTGCCAGCTTTGTCCGACTGCAGCTGCAGACGTATTGCTGTAACTCGAGTTGGCTGCTGCTTTCCGAGCGTGGCATGCGAGCCATGAGCCCGGGGACAAATATAGATGGGCACCAGCTGTCCTTCCATTGAACGCTACTCAAGTGTCGTGGAGAGAAGGTCAGCTCAAAAAGCTGCCAAGAAAAGTCGGTGTTTAAAAACCTGGGATCCTGTGAGACCATTTCACAGCACCATCTCCCCCCCCCCCCCCGCAACTTTAAAAAGAGAGATTTTCTTGTCCATATTCACAACTGACAGGCTGCAAATATAGAAACATAGAAACAGAGTGAGTCAGAAGGGGCATCCAGGGCCATCTAGTCTGACCTCCGGCACCAGCCGGCTCCGCTCACGACATGCCCACCATGTGCACGTCCAGCCTATCCTTGAACACCCGCACCGATGGGGCCTCAACAACCTCTTGTGGAAGCCCATTCCACACCCTCGGGGTCCTGACTGTCAGGAAGTGCTTCCTGGCATCCAAATGGAACCTTGGCTCCCTGAGCTTTGCTCCATTGGAGCGTGTCCTGCCTTCCTCTGCAGGGGAGAACAGGTCTCTACTCATCTCCATGTGACACCCCCTCACATACCTGTATGTCGCCAACATATCCCCTCTGAGTCTCCTCTTCTCCAGGCTGAAGAGACCCAGCTCCCTCAGTCTCGCCTCATATGGCATCCCCTGCAAACCTGCCACCAACCTTGTGGCCCTACGCTGCACTGACTCCAACCTGGCTATATACTTCCTGTAATGAGGGGCCCAAAACTGAACACAATACTCCAGTTGCAGGCACACCAGAGTTGTGTAGAGTGGTAGTAATACCTCTCTTGATCTAGAAGCCACATTTCTGGCTATGCAACCAAGGGTGGCGTTCGCCCTCTTGACCACCGCATCACACTACTGACTCATGTTTAGCCTGCAGTCAACCAGTACCACAAGGTCCCTTTCACAAGTGCTGCTCTCCAGCCACTTGTCACCTAACCTGTACTTTTGACAGCTATTCCTATGCCCCAAGTGCAAGATCTTGCACTTATCCACATTGAATGCCATCCTGTTGTCTCCTGCCCACTTCCATAGTCGGTCCAGATCCTTTTGGATCTGGAGTACCTGCTCCTCAGTTGTGGCCACTGCTCCAGTTTTAGTGTCGTCTGCGAATTTGATCAGCAGACTCTTCACCCCTTCTTCCATGTCATTGATGAAAAGATTAAACAGGATCGGCCCCAGGACAGAGCCCTGGGGGACCCTGCTTGTCACTGGCTGCCATCCCAATTATTCTCCGCTAATGGTTACCTTCTGCTTTCGGTCAGTCAACCATGCCTTAATCCACCGGACAGTGCTTTGGTGTATCCCAAAACTCCTCAGTTTCTCCACCAGGATATCATGGGGCACTTTGTCAAAGGCCTTGCTGAAATCCAGGTATACCACATCCACTGCATCCCCTCCATCCAGCCATCTCGAAACCTTGTCATAGAATTCCACAAGGTTTGTCTGGCAGGACCTGTTTTTGCGGAAGCCGTGTTGTGTGGCTATCAGCCTCCCTTCCCTATCTAGCATCACTAGATCTCTCTCTATTATAAGCCTTTCCATTGTTTTTCCTACAATAGACGTAAGGCTAACAGGTCTATAATTCCCCATGTCCCTTCTACTACCCTTTTTGAAAATTGGGACCACTGATGCCACCCTCCAGTCCTCTGGAACTTCATCCGTTCTCCACAAGGCCTCAAAAATGGAGGCCAGCGGGCGTGAGAGAACCCCTGCCAACTCTCTAATTACTCTTGGGTATAACCCGTCAGGACCTGATGACTTTGTAATGTCCAATGCCCTGAGGAGCCCCATGACTTCAAGGGGGGGGGGTGACTCTAATCTGTGCCCCTAAGTCCCCAGCCTCATCTAATCTCCTATGCGGATATCCCCCATCCTGCTTTGGAGAGAACACAGAGGCAAAATAGTCATTTAGCATCTTTGCCTGTTCCCTCATTTCAGTCACTGGATCTCCTTCCTCCTTATTTAGTGGTGCCACCACTTGTCTCCCCTTTCTTTTCCTATTTACATGCTGAAAGAAACCCTTTTTGTTGCTCTTGATATTCTTGGCAAGTCTCAGCTCATAATCAGCCTTAGCCTTGCGAAGAATCCTTCTGCAACGGGCCTCCTCCTCCTGGTATACCCTTTTGTCTATTTGCCCCAGTACGTATTTCCTACGGTGGTTCCTCTTTTGTCTAATCCCTCTAACCACCTCCTTTCACATCCATGGCGGCACTCTCCTCCGCCTCCCCACCTTACTGGTTAGAGGTATTGTCAAGGCTTGCGCCTCCAAAACCTTCCTTTTGAGTGCTATCCACCCCTCCTCAACTCGCTTACCTATCCCAGGAGACTTTCCCCAGTCTGGCCTTCAGTTGGCCAAAGCTGGCCCTCTTGGAGTCCCAGCTTCTAGTGCTCGACCTGCTGCACATCCCCAGTTCCCTGATCTCAAAGCAAAGGATGGAGTGATCACTCGCATCCAGAGCTCCCCTAATCTGTACTTCATCTATCAGCTCCTCCCTATTGGTCAAGACCAAGTCAAGCATGTTTCCCCCTCTCATCACCTCTCAGACCCTCTGTGTGAAAAACCCTCCCTCTATCCCTTCTAGGAAGCGATGTGACCTGGCTGTCACTGCAGAGTGAGTCTCCCAAGTAATATCCGGGAGATTGAAATCTCCCAGAATTACTGTGTCTCTCCCTCGAGATATCCTTAGAATCTGGCCTGTCAGGACATCATCCAGGGTCTCAAGTTGATCTGGAGGGCGATAACATACCCCCACTGTCAGGTCTCTTTCCCTGTCAAAACCCCTAAGTTTTAATATGATGTACTAGGAGCTGAAATGTTCCATATTTTCTGGAAATGTGTATTTGTCAAATACTGGTAGATCACTTTATAGAATCTACATTGTAGCATATAACACATCCAGTGGCTGCTAAATGTATTTAAAAGAACATACAGAAGAAGAGGACATAAAACTTTCCAATTTGTGCATGGCTACAAATATATACATATTATTTTATTGCACAAAGAAATAGTATTCTTCTGGTAAATGTTGAGTTCTTTAAAATCTGAGACATTGCTATTATGAAATAAATAATATATTATATACTTCCTGCAGGTGGTAGATAGGTACAAAGTTAATGGTACAAAATGTTTTTAATGCTGCAATAAAATATATTCCAAGGTTCAAGCAGCAGCATTTCATTCTCCCTCCAGCCTCCACTCCTGTTGTTCTTCTATTCCGAAAAGTCAGTCAAAAATTGTGCCTACTGAACATGCTTAGTGGTTACTGGCCCATTTTTTACAGGAGCCACAAATCCATCCACTGTGGAAGGGGCTTGGGGGAAGTGTGGTAGACACAGTTGTACTTTCATTTCCTTCCCTAGGATCATTTGAAGTTGTCTTTCAGTAAGGGCCCACGAATGACTTATCCAGACAATGGGAAGGTTCTTTCTACCCCTTACGTATCTATGTGTCTTTTTCCTCTCCAGCCATTCTATTCCATTTCCTTCTGTGGCCAAGAAGTTTATTTTCCATGTTAGTCAACACATCATAATGGAGCTGTTTTCCTAGATATTTTTGATCATCTGGAAACATTGGTCTTCCCAAGCATGCCCATCCCTCGCCCTTGACAAAGGGGCTGGTTGCTTTATTAGGGTGGCTGGGATGGACTCCTGCT